GGGTTTAGGGTTTAGGGATAGGGATATCCCATATAAATCCCCGTATAATGAAGCCCAACAAGGTAGGGAGATCCCGATATGGGTGTTTCCGAAAATAGGGGACCCTAATATAGTAGCCTAAATAGTAGGATCCTTATTATAAGCACCCCAAAATAAGCTACCCAACCCTAAACCCTAAACCTAAACCCTAAACCCTAATTTTCGGAAACTCCCTTTTTTGCTTCTGCTTCTGTCCTTTTAGGGGTTCCTAAGCAGGTGGGCGGACGTCGAAGAGCCTCCAGTGGAGATCCGACCCCGAGGTTTTGCGGGCTTAGGGCTTTGGGGGTTTTTAGGGGTTTAGGGTTTTTAAGGATTTAAGGTCTTTAGGGCTTTTAAGGGTTTAAGGTCTTTAGGGTTTTTAGGGGTTGGGGTTTAAGGGTTTTAGGGTTTTAGGGTTTAGGGTTTAGGGTTTAGGGTTTAGGGTTTAGGGTTTTCCGGGTTTAAGGCTTAAGGGTTTTAGGGTTTTAGGGTTTAGGGTCGGATTAAAGTTTAGGGTCTAGGGCTTTTAACCCCGAAGCCCTGAGCTATTGCGGTGTGAGGTCTTGGTTTGCCTTTGTGCGGCGGATGGGAGGGCCGCTGGGTGCTTTAGTTTTTGGCCTTTTGGGAGGGGCTTTCGGCATTTTTGCGTTTATTTAGACCCCCCCAAAAGGATCTAAAAAATAGATCCCTAATTTAGGGACCCTAACTACTAAAGGGTACTTTATAGAAACCCTCTTAGGGGATCTAAAAATAGATCGTTTCGGGGGTCTGGGTAGGTGGGGAGTGGGAGAGGGGGTGGGGCAGGGGTGCGGAGTACGCACAGGTGTCCGTGTCCAAGGTCTCTAGATCACGGATCCGACGTTTCAAGGCAACTCCCAAACAGACCGTCGAACAGAAGCGGCATGGCGTTAACGCAGCAGCAGCAAGCAAGGCCATCATATGAACGGAGCAAGGGGAAAGAAGCAATTTTATCCGGAAAAGTCGGAATACCACCACACGCTATACAGTACATGCGTACATACATGCAGTACATGCATACCAAACATGCATGCATACGTACATTCAGACGGACAGACAGACATGCCTGCATGCACATGTTAGTTCATTCATCTCATGTGTTCGTGGGGGCGTCTTTCCTTCATTAATCCATCCATCCACCCATCCATCAGTCCGTCCGTCCGTCTGTCCGTCCGTCCTTTCGTTCCTTCCTTCATTCCTTCCTTGATTGAAGCTGGTTGATTTATTCATTCATTGGTTCATTTCTGCACTCATTCATTCATTCATTCATTCATTCATTCATTCATTCGTTCATTCACTCGCTCGCTCACTCACTCACTCACTCACTCACCCACTCACTCACTCACTCACTCACTCACTCACTCACTCACTCACTCACACCTCATGCAACGTTTCATCCATTCATTCGTTCGTTCACTAGTTCGTTCATTCCTTTATTTCGCTTTGTTTCAGTTGAATCCAGTTGGTCAGTTCATTTCATGTGAATTTCATTTTAGTTCGTTCATTTCGATTCATCGCTCCATTCTTTGGTTCTTGCATTCAAGTTCATTGCTTTCCTTTTCGTTACGTTTGTTTACATGACAGCTCATTTCCTTGCATGACACTCATTGCTCCATTTACTCAATCTTCCGGTCTTTCGTTTCATAGCATTTCATTCCATTGCTGCTCATATCATTTCTGTTCTTCGCATTTCATGCATTCCTTCCTTCCTACCTCGCTTCCCTATTTGTTTTCCCGCCATTCATCCCTTCATACTGTTTCATTAGTTTCATTCGATTTCATGTTGTTCATTCGTTCACGCATTCCATCCACCCATCCATGCATCGATCCATCCCTCCGTCCATCCATCCATGGATCCATGGATCCATGGATCCATGGATCCATGGATCCATCCATCCATCCATCCATCCA